GGCTCAGCCGAGCCGAGGCATATGCCTTCGGCTCGACTGAGCCGCTCGGCTAAGTTCGGGAGCTGTACGGGCTATTGTGAATAGCGCGTACAGCAGCCCTTCGGTTCTACCGAACCGAAGGGGTCCTGGGGCCGAAGCTAGCTGAAGGATCGGCCGAAGCTACGGCCACATCCTTCGGCTGCTTCGTGAATAGACCCCTAAGTGTGCTATGCTGCTTTTCTGCATGTACGTCAATAAATAGACGTATTCTATCTGCTATTGGAGTGCGGGTGTCCATATTCTTTTGTATCACGGTGACAGTGGCCATCCATCGACTACCGAGCACCGATGTTATTCTGTTGGATGAGCGGTTAGGAGTGCAATGGGTACATGGACTGTGCCATTACACATGTGCCCTTTTCGCTAGTTCTCTGGCTACCATAATGATGTTTTAGTTTTAGTGCTGACCTGTAACAATTATAGAGATAAGAATATTTGACACAATTCGAACACTCATTTATAGCATGCTTGTTTTAGATCTGTAACCCAGCAATTTCAAAAGGAGGACAGCAAGGGTGACCCCTGTACTTAATTCATGACAACTTCACATTATGTTTTCAAGGCACAAAAACATTTCTTAAAGAACACATCATATTATTAAAGTAAAACGAAAGGCTCCTGATTTAATACTTGTTTGTGGGTACAAACAAGTATTAAATCTAGTTATTATGTGATACACAAGCCTCATATGTTAAACAAAAAATGTCCATAACCTTCCCTGACTGAGCCAAATCCTCCTTTATTTGTTATTCACATTACACAAAGGCACAGTATACATAAGAGTTGCAATCATGCTATGAATTCAGGAGCAATGCAGCATTGTTTCCATACATTACAGGAAGCGGCATTAGGTGGACTTCACTGGCAGGCTCAAAAGATATTTGTGGGAATGTGAAGGGGGTCTAAGAAAAAAAATGGGAGGCCGTAGTTCTACTTTAAAGGAGAACTATGAGATGAGTGATTTCCACTCACCTCATAGTTCTAGCCGACATGTGACAATGAGACTGTCACAGTTCAGCTCAGTAGATCGGGAGGTGAGCGAACACATATCGGGTTCGCTCACCTCTCGATCCTGTCACGGCTCTCTCACACCACTAGATTTTCCATCGGTGTCATGACCCCCACTATGGCCATCAATGACACCTATTCATCTTTCAGCTCTATCATCCCCCTCATTACATTTTTCTTTTATGTCTAATTTTTCATTATACTGAAAACATTGGGTGTCATCATACACCTCCACTTCTACTTGCCTAGATTGAGATAACCAACCACAATGGTTTTATTGTATAGTGAAATATAATTTCCCTACAAGTTCCAAGCACATTATGAGACTGTGAGTACTAACATGACAATATTGAAAAATGAGATGCTCTTGACTTCTAACAGCTCCTGACAAAGCAGATGTAATTCTTCAATTTGCGTGCAGTATATTCTTTCAAAAATACATTAACACATGTTAATGATGTCTGCCATAAAAAGACATTAGTAGTTTAAAAATATTTATGTGCCTCCGCTTCTCATAACTTAATTCAACTTTGGAAGCAAACACAGATTTTAAATTCCTCATTATAATATAAACACACTAGATATTGCTAGCTGAGTGATAATAATTGGTTGTATTGGTTAATTACAGCCAATTGCTATTGTTTTTACTTGACATATAAGATGATATGTATTATTTGTTATATTTTATTAATAGATCGGTGGAATAAAATTTTCTAACATCTTTTATGTGCCAAAATTGTGGCTTTAATATAAACTGTTTACAAAGTTCATTTTTGGGCATACTTAACTTATGAAGAAAACTCTGCAGATGACTACTACACAGAGAAGCGTCCCATGTTTTCAAACTTCCAGGGTGCTGTGTTTAAAAAATGCACGTACTCTACTGTAGCATTAGACACTACAGTATATCTATGGCTCATATACTGTCTGGTTTTTGTGCCACAATTAGCACCAAAAAGGCACCAAGACATCTGAGCAAGCTTACTTATGTGGAAAAGCGCGCAGTAACCTACAGTCTTCTCTTGTCTGGTACTTGAGGTTTAACCCCTTCATGGCCCTTTTTTCAATTTTTGCACCCATGTTATATTCCACATTTTAGGCCTGAAAATGACGTAAAACCCCCCAACATTATATAATTAGGCTCTGTATTAACTAGTGTCAATTGCATCAGATAGCCTCAGGGCTCTTTTGGAAAAAAGAAACATCTGGCAGTGAGCCTGTAAATTTTTGGCTTATGGCTTTTGCTCTTGTTATAAGAGGGTCATAGTACCAAAAGTACACTTGTATGGCACATAAGTGCGTTATGTAACAGTATGTAGACAAAAAAACTTCCCTAGCAACCAGCCATCACTTACCATCTATCTATACTTTCTTGTATGCAAGACATTAGGGTAGGTAAGCTAAAAATGTGTGTTTGTGTGTGTGTGCGTGCAAAGCCTTTTTTTTTCAAAAGCTTCCCCGCCGGTTCCTCTTTATCCTGGGTGTGCGTGCCACGGCCCCCATCCATTCCTACAGAGATCCGCACTCAAGTGACTCTGTTGCTAAAATCAATGCATAAACTAAATGTTCCTATTAAATCAGACATTTAGGGGTCTATTCACTAAGCTGCCGTAGGCAGCCGAGTGAAAGACCGACCTGAAGTGAGCCGAACGCTGTTCGGCTATTCACTTTAGGCTGGTACGGATGATTTCAGCCGTGTTTCGGCTGAAATCAGCCGTACATCGGGTGGCTTCGGGTCGGCCGAACATGCTCAGCATGTCCGGCTGACCCGAAGTGCAGGAGGAGTTCGACTCAGCCGATCCAACATCTGGATCTGCTAAGCCGAACCTCCGGCAGGCTACTCGCTCCTGTTCAGTCTATTCTTATAGATGCCGAACAGCAGTGAGTGAATAGCCTCAGAGGGACCAAGCAGAACAGAAAAATAGTTAAAAAAGTACAAGACAATAAATAGAAAACGATTGTGCGGAGCTAGCAATGACAGCTAGCTCCGCCCAACCGTTTTCTATTGGCCGGCGGTTCTGCTGCCGTCAAAAAAAAAGAATTTGCAATAGCCAATAGTAAACTAGCATTGTACTCGCCCTCTGCTGATGGACCTGATGGAGAACTGCAGCAGAGTGCGGGTGCAATGCTAGTTTACTATTGGCTATTGCAAATTGAAATAGCCAATAGGAATCTAGCAATGCATTCCTATGGGCAAATTATTATTTTTTCTATTCTGACACGGCTCCGTGTCAGAATAAAGAAAAAAAGAAGAAAAAGCAGTGTGTCTCTCCTGGGCGGCCGGGAGCGGGAGACTCCCGGAGCGCCCGGGAGAGTTTGCTGTCTGGAGATCAGTGTCCCCGGCCAGCTGTCAGAAGCAGGCTGTCGGCCGCCAATGGCCGGCCGCTCGCCCAGCTTTGGCTTTCAGCGCGGCTCAGCCGAGCCGAGGCATATGCCTTCGGCTCGACTGAGTTCGGGAGCTGTACGGGCTATTGTGAATAGCCCGTACAACAGCCCTTCAGTTCTACTGAACCAAAGGGGTCCTGGGGCCGAAGCTAGCCGAAGGATTGGCCGAAGCTACGGCTAGATCCTTCGGCTGCTTCGTGAATAGACACCTTAATGTTCACTCTCTAGTTGCACATGCCCTGATCTGCACTGTTGTAAAGAGAAACTGGCAGCTGATGAATCTGTACAATCAGACACTTACGAAAGTATACATTTTTTTGTCCCCCGCTGCAAGTTGAGGTTTCTCCCATTAGCCCCTACATCACTACAGGACATAGTAGTTATGTAGGCAGAGGCAGGTCCAGCCAATGAACACTGTGTGGGACCAGGAATTTGACACTCTCAAAAGTGCCATTTTCTGAAGATCCTTCAGCTGGCAATTTCTCTTCACTGCAGCAAAGGCCGATGCCACAGGGAGTGGGAAAATGAGTCTTAGATGCCTTATTTTCAGGAAACACTTTATTTTAAACATTAATTTTAGTAGGGATGTTCAGATACCAGTATCTGTATCGGTGCCCATACTCGGCATTTTCATTAGAACTGCCAAGGTCTCAGCGTTTGCAGCTGCGACTGGGCCCTGGAGCTCCACCACTATCCTGAAATCATTAGTCTGTATTGTTTTAGAAAAACTGCCACATGCATGATATTAAACAAAAAGGTATCAGTAATTGGTATCTGTGAGTACTTGGAAAAGTATCGGAACTTGTACTTGGTCTGGAAAAGTATCGGTGCATCCCTGATATACATATATAACAATAATGCTAAGCACATCTGTGAGGCGTTCACAATGGTTTTCTAGAAATTGTTTCTTAAATTATGAACATTGCATTTTATTCTCTAACATTGTACCTGTATTTTTTTCAGCTTCTCTTTTCCTTCACCAGACTGAATTGCTCCCATTAAAGTACTATGCAATGAGCCATCTTTTTGTACAGGTTTTTGGACCACAGGTCGAAACTTTGCTTTAGGCCCGAAAAAATTATTGCTGTCTGGCTCATCTATTACTGTAGAAGGTATGCTATCAACTTCACTTTTATTTTCTTTCTCAACGATTTTTACAGTGGTTGGTAATGCTTTTGTGGGTACAAATGTATTTTCTTGTTCTATTTTCATAGACTTTTCCCGGACAGCTTTTAAAAAGGCATTGGATGGCACATTAGAGATTGGGCGAATGCGGGATGTCTCAACTGCAGCATTCTTTTCAGTTTTTTCTAACACAGTTATATTTCCATTTGCAGGGCCATTAAATTGCTGTGTTCTTGATAACAAATCATCTTTTTTAGCCTCAGAGGGTGTTTGCCAAAGATTGCTGCTTTTGTTAATTGATTGCATTTTGTTTGTCAACTGACCATCTTTGCTGCCAAGATTTGCATTTAATTCTGTACATGTTTCTTGTTTAGTTGCAGATTTGATTTCTTTTTTCGGCTCCTCTAGGGTAACCTTTGTATTGTTTTTTATGGAGGACATCAAGAAAGCAGAGCTTCTGTTGTTGGAATTTGAATCAAGTTTGACCTCTGTAGCTTCTAGAGTTTTTTTATTTGAAGGTTCTGTGTACTTGAATATAGCAGATGCCACATATTGGCTTGATGTTCTCTTTGAAGGTTTCAAAAATGGCAGTTCTGGCTTTTCTTGATTTGTTTTTTCAATGATAATAATCTTTTCTTGGGAAGTTGTTAACAAATTTGGTTTGGTCTGTTGTGGTCCACAGCTCCTGTCACTGATGGCAGGGCCTTGATCAGATTTACCTTTACTAGTCTCAATTGTTTGCCTTGGTTGTTTGTCATTTAACATAGGTCTTAAAAGTGGCATGATTGTGTTTTCAATAATAATCACATTTTCCTGGGGACCACTTCTTGGTACTGGTTTGTTCTGCTGCAATGCAGTATGCCTATCATTTAATTTATTAACAGGTATCTGCTGTGTTTGTCCTTTTGATGAAGAAAAAATTGCTCTGTTCTCTACAGCTTCATTTGGCTTATAATTCTTGAGAGATCCAATCTTTTTAACAGGGTGCTCTTTTGATTCCCCTCCTTGTGCATCCATAGAACTTGACCTCCAAAACTCTTTAGCTCTTGCAGCCAGAGGTTTTTCTACAAGAGGATTTTCTGTGTCATTAGTGGAACTATCACTCTTATCAAAAGATGACTGTGGGCTTATTAGATTCCCCTGATCATCTATCTTGATGGCACTTGAAGTAAGGGAAACACCTCTGTCATATTTTTTAACAGTGGGTTTTGGAGGAACCACTGTAAATGTGGTCATGCCAACTTTTGGTTCATATGTCTGTTGCCGCCACAGAGTTGGTTTGGTGGTTTCTGCTACTTTATTAGTATTGTTTTGCGGAGCCTGGTTTTCTTTGATTACTACATTTTGTCTGTTATCAGGCAATAGGTTAGCTTTATTCTTAACTGACTTTGATTCATTTTCCATTTTTATGGGGAAACTTGATACAGGTGGGTTATAAGATGGAATTTCAATGGCATTTTTAGGTCTGTCAGATGTACTTGAAATGTACTCACTAAATATATGTTGTTTTGAGATATCTGTAGACTGTTTAAAACTTCCACCATTGGGTTTCACTGTTGGAGAGGTGGGTGACTGAACTTTGCTGTGGGGTGTGTAAGTTTTTCTTGCAACATTTTCTCCATGAGAAATAAATCTTTCATTAGTGGTGTTGCTTACAGCAGGAGATTTTTGCATCACATTGAAGTCATGCGCAGGTGGAATGGTATGTACATTATGCTTCAAAGTGTATGTGGTAACTTCAGGAATCTCATCTATAATGGTGACAGGCACAGCTGCACCATGTTCCTTATCCTCGTGAAACTGACTGGATTCTTCTCCCACTGGACTTGATCGAGCACTGATACGATGGCTTTCAGTGTGGTTGCCATCATCCATATCTGTAAAATAATATAAATTTTAAGTTATCTACATTTTACTGACGTGATTAAGTACATATTTAAAGGTATTATTTACTATAAGAGAAATGTCCAGATGCTTCTAAGATAAATATTAATCTAGCTTTTACATTGCTGCTATCTAACGGTGTGAGCAGATGGGCAAAGGATGCAACAGTGTTCATAGAAATCAATGGTCAGAACATAACGTGTCACTCACATTTGTAAGGTTGCCAGTAGCCCACTGGGCCAAGCAACTTGTTGTGGGAGAATATTTATGTCTACATGTAGACCTATAATGTTGGTTGTCCCTTTAAAAACTGGTTCAGTGTTGTCCTGGCTAGGATGCACTAGAAGTGGTCAGATGCCAGTGGAGAATGAAGTAGGTAACTGGTAGCCCCAAATGGTAAACTGAGGACCCTGCATGGATAAACGGAAAAGCTGTGGATTCTTCAGTTTTAAAACATATATGTTTCTTGCAAGCAATATTAAAACACCATTAAAGAGTGACATTGGATTTCATAGTGTTTCCTAGCACCAAGAAATGCATTGGTGTTATAATATTGTTTTAAAAAAATGTTTTAATATAGAAGAAATTGCAGCATTTCCTTTATCCACACTGGCATCCCTGTATATCTCTTTACCTTTTGGGAATTCTGATTGCCTACTTTAAATAACTAAACATATTTACTTATTTGTGAAATACATTAATAAGTCAGTGAATAACTTACTTCAACAAAAGAAAATGGATTACAATACTAATTCAGTGACTAAATGCACATATCTAGACACATCCAATCTGCACCCTGTATCAGCTGGTGTACTTTCCACAAGACCCTACACTAAATGGACATTAGCATATCAGCACCAAATCATGCCTAACCTCCTTTTCCCCATCCACATTTCTGAAGGTCCAGATAAAGTTCTGCTCTGTGATGAACTGAAAACCCTTTTATCTCTCTCATGCTAACACCAGTAGCAAAACTGCATAACACACAAAATGCAAAGTCATTGATAGGATTCAAATGTTATGACATGTGGCCCAAATAAGTATTTGTTACCACATTTCTCTTCTTGGCATTATTTTCATATTTAAAAAACATAACATAACAAACACACATTCTGAATCTTCATCAAGTTCTGCTAGTGTCTTTTGGAACTGTGTGGTGATGAAAATATCTTCATCCCCATTTCGGACTGATGTCACTTCATCTTCTATCCGAGTTGAGCTTGAAAGAAAAAAAAATGATTAGTACACTTTTTCCTATGTATGCACTACCAATCTCTGCTTCCTGTAACATTTTGTATTCATTTAATTATTAAGCTACTGTAGAATATAACATCAAAACATGTTAAACAATTCCAACATTATAGTAGATGTCCATCCAAAACCAATACTTTTCACTCACCTCATAGTTCTAGCCGACCTGTGACAATGAGACTGTCACAGGTCAGCTTAGTAGATCGGGAAGTGAGCGAACACATACCGGCGTTCGCTCACTTCTCGATCCTGTCACAGCTCTCTGCCGTGACAGGGGAGTGGCTGGATTCCGCAAGCTGTAGCTCGCGGTATACTGAGCTTAGGGTGACGGGAGGACGCTAGTTTGTGTCCTCCCGTTACCCTAAGGAGAACTATAGGGAAAAACACTGACCCCATAGTTCTCCTTTAAGGAGACTTCCATATGATCCTGGACCCTCTGAGCTATGACAATATGCTATAGCATGGTCATTGGTTTTCAGTGGACCTACAAGTGCCCATCACTTTGAAAATGTTACTGATTTACTGAAACACAAAAAAAGTTACAACTTTAAATTTATTGTTTTTGCTTTCCCTATAGATAGTGAGACTCTAAAGAGGAATAAAAACACTTTGAGAACTGTTCAGAAATCTTTGGAGAGCTTTCAATAGAAATGAGATAAATGAAAAGAACTGACTTCATATCAGACGGTACAAAAACATAATCTCATGTGTCAGGCACATAAGGAGGGATAAGGAAACATTTCTCTCCTATAATGAATTCCTGACATGCTGCACATTTCTTCTAGTAGCACGTTTAACACTGTAGTTAATTGTATTGTTGCCAACAACTACAATTTCCCTGCATAATACAAACTAGAAAACTTGGGTAAAGTGGTTTGTCAAGGAAGTAGCAGATACATTGTAAAAGTCTTATGGGTGGCAGTTACACAGATTGGCTAGATTATTTGTGCCATCACTGTCTGCAGAAAAATATTTATTTGAATTAATTTGGTTATGTATTATAAACGTGATCAAAACATTTGCTTAGCAGGACTTGCTTATAAATTAAGTTAATACTGTTACAATCAAAACGGACAAAACATGTCAACTGGACTTGTGTAATATTGAAGGCAGTTGCAGCTTATCCAAGCCATTTCTTCAGTCCTAATGTACAGCATTTATAGCCACACCATGAAATCCATTCACCATGGAATGTGTCAATGCAGATGTTGAATATCCAATAAAAGGTTTGGACAGTCAACATCTGCCTTGACACATTCCAGGGTGATTTGCATTAAGTTGACTGAGCTATCTGTGTGGCTATAAATGATGGGGCATGTTCACGACCCTCATTAGAACTGAAGAAGAGGCTTGGATAAGCTCAAAAACACCTTCAATATGCAGATAAAGTCCAGTTGAATGTGACTAACTACTACTATCTATACCAAGAGCAGTTAACCTTGGCACTCCAGTTGTTGAGGAAACTGCAAGTCCCATGAGGCAATAAAACCTGAAACAGTCAAAGGCATGACTCCTAGAGGCAGAGGCATGATGGAAATCGTAGTTTCACCACAGCTGAAGTGCTGATGTTCTCTACCCCTAAGCCATACCATGATCTGGATAAATGGGAACCTTCACAGACAATGTAAACTAACATATGGTTTACCAAAATTCAGACTGAACTAATCAAAACATAGACATGTTCTTTTGATTTCATGTTTTTTGCTACTTAATCATTCGTTTTTGTAAAGGATGCTAATGGCTGCTGTCTTGCCTAACAGTTTACAGGCAATATTAAAGAAGAACTCTGGGGAAACATATTATTAACCCTTGCAGTGGGGCTACCCCCACACTGCAAGGGTTAACTGCTTGTTTTTGTCTAGGGACTTAGACTCACCTGAACCTCGGAGCCAGCCAGCTTTCACAATGCTCCCTCTAGCCCCCCTCCTCCTACACTGCAGCGATGGTATTTTCCTCGGTGTCCTCACGCCCAATACACAATGTGGAGCAGGTGAATATAACTTTTTTATTTTAGTTCCTAGACGAAAGCAGGCAGTTAGACCATGCAGTGCGGGAGTAGCCCCACTGCAAGGGTTAAGAATATTTGCCCCCGGGGTTCTTTTTACGGATAAGTGCACTTTAAATATACTTGAATTAAATATACAGAGATCTGACAAGTCTTGCCTTGGTTGTTTGTTGAAATCATGCAACGGATATCTTCTTTTCCTGGCGGCACCTACACAGTACATCCTTACTAATGCCTATGAGGTTTGTCTCTCAGAAGGGAGATGGAGGCAGATGAGCTTATATGATTTAAATATTAGTGGATTGGGGTGCAGATGGAAAATAATGTAACTCCACAGCCATAAATATGTTGCCAAATAAGTTGTTGCAAAGGCTGTCTTTGAAAATCATTCAGTTCCTTAACACCACATATAGCTTCAGGGCATTGCCTAAACCCGTAATTTAAAGGATTAGTGTACTTTCTATGTCATGGTGCTTCCCCACACAATGAGACTGTCACAGGTCGGCTCAGTAGATCGGGAGGTGAGCAAACACATGCCGGTGTTCGCTCACTTCTCGATACTGTCACATGGATGGATTCCCCCCTCCCCGCTCGGATCCGCCAGCGCTGACTGGCAGAACGGATGGGGGCGGGTACAGCTGGCTCTGCCTCTAGATAGGCAGAGCCAGCTGTCACTCACGCAGCTGGGCGGATCTCAACATCGATGTCAGGATCTCGACGTCCATGTCGGGATCCGCTCCGGCTGCGGCGTCTCAGTATACCGCGAGCTGTAGCTCGCGGTATACTGAGCTTAGGGTGACGGGAGGACGCTAGTTTGTGTCCTCCCGTTACCCTAAAGAGAACTATGGGGAAAAGCCCTGACCCCATAGTTCTCCTTTAAGTCTACAAAAAGTAACACAAAGGGGTTACTAAAGGCCAATAGGGAATAAAGCCACTAGCTCAGACACATGTTTTGTAGAAATAATGGCCACATTGAATACAACTTTGTGACTGAGAGTGGAAAGGGAATATCTCAAGTAGGTTCGAAAGGCGGCCTTTGAAGGACCAACAGAACCAAATTTAAATCCCATGGAGTCACAGGAGGTTTTACAGGAGAGGTCACTTGAAATATACCCTGTACAAAGGTTTTGATCTTAGAATGAGAGGGAATGGGTCAGTGGAGTATAAATGCAAGGGCCGAGATCTGGCCTTTCTTTGTGCTCAGGGCCAAATGTTGATCTAATCTCCCTCTGTCTGTACCTAAAATGTGTATATAAATGCCAAAATGTGCATGGACATATTGAGATTGATTTACTAAAGCAAAAAGTGAAAATTCACTTTGCAAAAAATACCCAATCGCATGCAAAGAAAATGTAAAAAAAGCGGTTATTTATTTTCTACATGATTGGATGATGGAAGCCAGTAAAGTCACTGACTAAGCTAATGGAAAATTCCTTTGCAAAGTGAACAGCCTATTTGCCCTCAATGGCTGAAATTGAGTTGCATTAAAAAATGCTTCTAAAGGTGCCCATACAGTGCACGATTCTCGTACGAGAATCGCGGGAAATCCCACGATCGTACGAGAATCGTGCAGTGTATGGAAGGCGTGCGACCGTTTCTACTGTATGGTCGCACATCTTCCGTCGAACCAGCAGGCTAGAAAACCCGCCGGGAATCATACGATTCTCGGCGAGTTAGTGGCCTGCTGGTTCGACAACTGCCGAACGGGCCGGTGTGCGCACCCGTTTGCAGTCATCTTAAGCCCGCCCCTCATTGCAGTCATCGTAAGCCCGCCCCTCAGGGGGGCGGGCTTGCGATGATCGAGAGTACGATCTGCCTGTCCAAGATGGGCAGATCGTACGTTTTTTTCATCACTTTACAACCATCGCAAGACTAAGGTCTTGCAATGGTTGTACAGTGTATGGCCACCTTTAAAGTGGCATTTTGTTCTGCCTGTGTCCATGAGGCAATTAACTAATTTACAATGTAATTTTGTTTTCTTTTTTGTTATTAGCTTATAATTCTCTTTCCATGATGGGAAACCGGAATATAATAGAAGCGAACTGCTCTTTAAGGTCAATTCCTACAAAATACTGTACAACAAAGCATTGTTTTGGCTTCAGAATTCAACACATTTCATAAACACAATTTAACATTCCATTTAATGCAAGTCTAGGCTTAGAGGGAAACCACAGAAAAGTATGTTTTCCTCCTTACAGGAACACTACCACATGGTTATCTTTGTTGAATGTGCATTTCTGGTAGCCTCTTTGGAATAACGTATGCTTTTTTCTGGTATCAAGTTTAACAACAAGTAGCAATGACTGCATTTTCTTGCTATCATTTTCAGCAACTATCTCTGAAACATTAACCCGTTCTGCAGTGCAGGAACTGCACTAGGAGATGCTACAGCCTCAGATTTGATTATGGTTGTGACCTGTTTAAAGTATAACTAAAAACTTCTGCATGACAGTCTAAGCAATTATCAAAAATAGTTACCATCAAAAAGTAAAGAGAAAACTTCCCTTACTTTCCCCTAACCGAACAAAAAATCCTCTTTTACTTGTGTCTCACAAGTTCCCCCTCCCATATATTGCAGCTCACCATAGGAGGGTTTCAGCAACAAATGCAGTGCTGTCAATCCAGATAACAGTGGATGGGACTAGTTGTGGCCAGGTGCTGATTGACAAGTTTCAGCCTTGTGAATGAGCAGTGACAATGCAGATAGCCAAGCCCACTGCAACATATTTCATCTCTCTGTACGGCAAGCAGGCACAGCCTACATGAGAGTGGCAACTCTGCTCTAAACTCAGGAGCACACACACAACATCACAGGCAGCTGCATTAGGTGGACTTCACTGGCAGGATCAACAAGCATTTGTGTAAGTGCAGATGTATTTATAATAAAGTTCTGCAGCACATATTTATAATGGGAGGCCATAGTTCTACTTTAACTGCTTGCTGTCTGGACGGCAAGCTCCCAT